ATGGATATTCTTTGCAAAGTGACTTTTTGCCACATTCACTAAGATAAGGTAAAATTCCCTTACAAAGTGAACTGCCTATTTGTCTTTAATAAACCAATCCCAGTGACTTGCACTTGAGATCAGAATTGTCTATATGTCTTCTATGGGTATGTGCTGATTTTCCATGGCCACCATTTCTGCAGGGACTATGAGGATATTGGTAGAGGTTAGCATATTGTGGGGAACGTATAAGAGCCACCCATAAATTGTATCCACTTACGTGACCCACTATGTTTGTAATAGCTGCATTAACCATTTGTCCAGCCCCCCCCCTAAACCCATGATAATGCCATAAACAGAAAGTCTATGACCATGACTTCCTTTTTGTGCCAGTACTATGGAGTTATAGGGGTTGGCATGGTGGATTGGATACACATGGGCAGATCAAATGTTCACCAGCTCTCTATGGAATTCAGATACCTCAGAGTGGAGCTTGTCACATAAAGATGTCAGCTGTGCACAGGCCTTCTGTCAGGAACCGGATCTGAACCCAGGGCCTCTGCTATAGCCAGCAGTGGTTCTACCTGTTGAGCCACCTTAACACTTTGGATAGCTCCTTGCCTGATCTCCTGTGTAATCATCAGTTTAACCTAGTGTCTGCTGAACTCTGAACTTCTTGCTCCTCCCTTGAACTTCCTATTTAAGCCATGCCTCTGCAGTTCCTGTTTGCCAGATTATTGTGCTCCTGCCATTATCTTGCTCCTTCTCCCTCTGTGCTACAATCTACTCATAGTACTACCCGTGTACTGACCTTTGGCTGCTGATTCACTGACTACTCTCATTGTCTGCTGCTTCGTACCTGATACCTTTGGCTACTGACCTCGGCTTGTTCGTTGACTACGCTTCTGCCTGCTCCTACACTACTACCGTCTGCTTGTGTACTGAACCTGGCCTGTTATACAACAAATTTGCCTGCTGTTTCAGCTACTGGACTCCGAGCCTGATCCCAGATTGTGACATCTTCACTGCTTATGTATTGATCTAATTTATGTAGAAGTGAAGCAGTTAACCTTACTATCCAAAGCCCTTCTATTGTTTTCTGTGCTTTCTTGTCATAAGATAGTTCAATATTGTAAAATCATGTACTAGTAACGGGTAATGCTTTTTACAACTTTAGACAGGACCCCAAATTCATTTATTGTTCAAGAATCTCACTAATCACATCCCTCATGATTTTACTAACCTGAACTTGAACTAGTAGAAGGACTGCGGCATAGATTTGGAAACAGGACTAGACAGGTAATTTGGAAATCATTGCATTTCCTAGAAGATCTGGTCTATCTGACAGTATTCTTAGGCTGCTGTTGTGGGTTGCTTAGCCCCATGAAACCGTGTCAAAACATAGCAAATCAAGCCGCTCCATTTGTGTGCACTGAAATCTCTTGTGATTTGTAGCCATTGCTCTATTGTATGCAGTGCGGTTATTGTAGAGAGTTAAGGAACATTGGGTTTGATAAGATTCTGTTTTGTAAGTTAAGGTGAGTGTATATCAGGGTCACTGCTGGTGAATCGCTGTATTTCATAAAAAAATCTAAAGTTTCAAAATGTTTTACAGCTGCAAAGTTGTCTGGAACATTGCTGCATTGCAACTTTCACCTACTAATATATTTACAAAACTATATGTATGACATGATGATATTTTGGTTTATTTTTTTGGCCATTCATACTGTATATGCATTGTTTTACTGTGTGCGAATGTTCCTGTGTATTCATTGTAAACTTTAAAAAAAAACTACTATTGTGTGAAAAAATTACACATTGATAAAAAAAAGTACACTAAATATCCACACAATAATAACATTTACGTCAAGCCAGTCTCTTTGAAATATATCTAAAAATAACCAAAAAGTGTAGTTGTTTCTCTACGTGTGGGAATTTATAAAGCCTATTCTGCAATCCCTCTAGGACATGGAGCATTAAAAAAATAAATGAGCCTTTTAAGGGTTTTGAAGAGAGTAAGTAATAGTTGAAATCTTAATTTTTGTGTTTTCTTTTGGTCTATGACCCACTGGATTGATTTCCCCTCACTAACTGTTCCAGAGACACAACAGGAAGTGATAGAAAACCTCTCCAAAGAGAGAATTAATTCCTGTTAGACACAGGAACAAGTGATCACACTGGAAGATTTCAAATCCTTTCATGTTCTATTGGCAACTGTAAAATCTTGGAGTAACCATTACTTTCTATCCTAGTGTCAATGGTCACCAGAGTAATTGGAGAGGGTGAATTTTAACCAGCTGGAACACAAACAGCAATAAAATTGAACAGCGTTTTTAACCATTCCCTACTCTGTCCAACATTTTTAAAAATAGTTTTGGCTATAGTTACACTTAAAGTAGTAGTGGAGTAGAAAATGCCTGGTTGGCACCATGTAATAAGCTTCATCTCTCTGTATATGAGAACATTAATCTACAGAAATTACAATTATCCAACGCAGGTAGGAGATGTTCCCTCACTGAGGGACTTGGATTGTAATCTTTTAATTATACCTCCATCTCTACATAAACTATGCTGAAAACGTCATCCTCTTGGAGGTTTTCATGTTTTACTGTCATAGAACATTAAATCACAGCAAATTTATTTTTTTTGTTACACTTTACACTTTTTTACACTACTATTTTAATTAATTACAGTGGAAAAAACACAAAAAGGTGCCCATACACTGTGCGATTATCGTACGAGAATTGCGGGAAATCCCGCGATCGTACGATAATCGCAAACTGTATGGAAGGCGTGCGACCGTTTCTACTGTACGGTCGCACGTCTTCCGTCGAAAAAGCAGGCTGGAAAATTACGATTCTCGGCGGGTTGGTGGCCTGCTTGTTCAACAACTGCCCTCAGGGGGTCGGGCTTGCGAGTACGATCTGCCTGTCCAAGATGGGTTTTTTGCCTGTCCAAGATTTTTTTAAATTACTTTACAACCCTCACAAGACAAAAGTCTTGCGAGGGTTGTAAAGTGTATGGCCATCTTAAATCATCTG